AAGCCTTAGACAAATGGATTTGCATTTAATTATTGAGTATGGAAGGGTTTTGAGACCTGTAATCAAGTACAAACAAGGCTGATTAGAGTTTGCAACTTGTATCAATATGAACATGCCATGGATCAAAAGTGAGTTTTTGCCAACTTCAAGCCTTCGATTCTCCCTAACCACAAATGATCTTGGAGAGTTCTTAGACATTTTGGAAAGCTTGCAACATTCTATACAATACATATTTGAAATGCAATTTGAGATTCCAAGTGGAACTATGTGAAAAATGGCCATGAAGATAGGTCAAAATCCTGCCTAAACTAGGGCAAAATTTCACTAAGTTAAAAGTTTCATGGACCCTTATTCCAAAAAACATAACTTGAGATCCAAGATTCTTTTGAGAAAACTTTGTGAATAAAAGTTGTATATTTTATGGAGGAATACAACTTTAATGTTGTAAGTTTTGTTTGAATCCAATTGCATCATGGTGAAAATGTTGGGCAAAGTTGGGAAAAATTAAGAAAATTTCATAACTTAGAAAAATTCTAAGTTATGAAAATTTTCAAACTTAAACCCTAATTTGCAAAATTGGGTTTCTTGATGAACAAGTTTCATGTTTTGACACATCTTGATGAAAAATGACCCTTGGCACTTGATTTTGACCAAAAAGTCAAAGTTTAACTTTTCAGTGTACGGTCAAATTTTGATCAGTTGACTGAAAAATTCATTTGTCAATCCAATGCATTTGAGATCTTTTGAACCTTGTGAATAGGTCAAGATGATGCCATTGGGTCCTTGAATCCATGTTTGAGCCCAAGTTTCCATTGGCTAGGTGAAAAGTCAGAAATTGCCTTTCTGCAGTCAAAACCCTAAAAATGACCATTTTTCCCTTTTGATGATCTGATCAAATTTCTTGAGGAGTTATGGTCCAAACTTGATCAAATGATTCATATGAGTTTATAATGTTGATGTGGATAAAAAATTGTGAGGTTTGACTGTAAATTGGCTACAATTGACTTTTTCCCCAATACAGTTGATTTCTAGGTCAACTGTCCAATTGACTGGGTAAAAATTTGATTCAAGGCTTGAAACTTGGTATGAGCAATCTTGTAAGTCCAACATGAAGCATGAAAGTCATATTGAGCATTGGAAGTCCAAAAATATCTGTGAAAACTCAAACCCTAATTTAGGTCATCAGTGCAAGGAGATGTCTTGAGCAGAGCAAAATCCTAATCCTGTCTGGAGTTCAAAAAGTCTTGTGAGGGGAAATCTTGATAAAATAAGAGGGAAAATTTTGGGGTACAACAGACGTGATGGGAGGCGCCTTAGAGGTTGTAGTGTAGGTGCAGTGTAGGCGCATGCTAGGTGACAGCCTTGGAGAAGGCATCTCTGCCTTACTGTTGGTTTATTCAAATTCAGTACAACCTATTTAATCTTACATTTATCAAAACACTCATACACTTAATCTCTCAAACACTAGAACATTAAAAAATTCCAGCAATTAACTCATAAACTTCAAACCTTCAAACCTTCAAACACTCATACACAATGGCCTCTGCACCCCAATATGTGATCGGTGCACATTTCAACGGTGAGACATACATTTGTCCCACCTCTAGGTTTTTGTTTAGAGACACTGAGAACATCCGATTTTGTTTAAATAGGAAAGCCAATTTCTTGTACTTCAAAAAACGATTGGAGGCCAAACTTGGACGAGGCCCCGTGACACAAATATTTTATCAGAATCCGGAATTTTTTGGTAACAACCAAATAATATTTTATAAGGTTGAGGTTCAAGATGACGAGGACCTTCAGAATATGTTTTCCAGTCATGAGTATTCTGGGTACGACTCTATTGAGTTGTACATTATGCTGCGAGAGCCTCAGCTGTCACAAGTGGTTGATCCTTTGGAGACCGAACAAGCAGAAGTAGATGTCGTTGATGAAGAAGAATAAGATGACGAGTTGGAGTTTGACGAAATGGTCAATGATGATTCCGAAGACGATGGGATACCTGGTATTCCTTCAAACGAGATCTACACACCAGCTCCGCACATGACAAACTTCAACATGGTCGGAGATGAACCGTCTTCTGATTTATTTTTCAATCCGTATATGCAGTCGGATGAAAACTTAAAAGAGAAAGACAAATTTCGTAACAGAGGAGAATGTATCATAGCCATCAAAAAATTTCACATGCTCAACTCGGTCGATTTTAAGGTGGACTGTGTAAATCCAGAAAGGTACAAGATCAAGTGTGTCCACCCTGATTGTATGTTCAAGCTTACTGCATCATACAGATTAAGAGGTGATTGTTGGGTCATAGGTTCCATATCTACCCACACTTGTGTCAGTTCTACTCAATCACAGGATCATCGGAAACTAAATTATGATCTCATTTGTCAAGAAATCCTACCACTCGTCAGCAACGGTCCATCATTGAAGGTGAAAACCATAATCTCCCACATCACTACGGTATTTAACTATACTCCGTCTTACCGAAAGGCGTGGTTAGAAAAGACCAAGGCGATTGCAAAGGTATATGGAAACTGGGAGGAGTCATACCAAGAACTTCCTCGCTACCTGAATGCACTGCAGACTTATTCTCTGGGTACTGTTTACATTCTGGAAACAGTGCCAGCATACGCCCCGGATGATAGTCAACTCAACGGAAATGGAATATTCAGTCGAGTGTTTTGGGCTTTTCAACCTTGCATCACAGGGTTTGCATAATGCAAACCAATTATACAAATTGATGGGACTTGGTTGTATGGAAAATACAAAGGCACGCTACTGATGGCAGTTACACAAGATGGCAACAACAACATTTTCCAAATTACCTTTGCCCTAGTCGATGGGGAGACTGGTGGTGCTTGGAGCTTTTTTCTCAAAAATGTCCGAACACACGTGGCCCCTCAACCAGATCTATGTTTGATCTCTGATAGACATGTATCTATTGAAAGTGCATACAATAATCATGCAAACGGTTGGCATGACCCTCCTTCTACGCATGTCTATTGCGTTAGACATATCGTCTAAAATTTCACGAGGGAGATCAAAGACAAAACTCTTAGGAAAGCGGTTATGAATGCGGGATATGCATTGACACAACCTACGTTCAAATATTATCGCAATAAGATCCGTTTGTCAAATCCGAAAGCCGGTAGGTGGGTCGATAATATTCTGGTAGAAAAATGGACTAGGTCATACGATAATGGACAAAGATGGGGCCACATGACAACAAATCTAATTGAATCAATGAATGGGGTATTCAAAGGCATACGCAACCTCTCGGTCACTGCTTTGGTTAAGTCAACATATTTTAGGATGGCTTCGTTGTTTTCCAAAAGAGGTGAAATATGGAATGCTGTGTTGCAATCTGGACAACTATGGAGTGAAAGCTGCATGAAGTACATTAAGGCAGAAAGTGCCAAAGCCAACACCCATCTGGTTATACGGTTTGACCGACACAGCCACAACTTCATTGTCAAAGAGACAATCGACCACAACGAGGGCCTGCCAAGACAAGAATATAGGGTTGTACTACCTTCTCGTTGGTGCGATTGTGACAAGTTTCAAGCCTTTCGTATGCCTTACTCTCATGTCATTTTCGCGTGTGCCTATACTCATCAAGACGCGCTACAACTTCTGTCTCCCATTTACAAATCTGAAACGTTGCTCAACGTTTACAACAACGGCTTCCCTTTGGTAGCAAAACCAGATTATTGGCCTGCATACGACGGTGAAATAATATGGAACAATGACCAAATGAGAAGGAATAAAAAGGGTCGTCCCAAAAGTAAGCACATCACAACCGAAATGGACTCCTTTGACAAGCTGGAAAGAAAGTGTAGTTTATGTCGTCAGGTCGGACACAATCGCAAAAGTTATCTGAATCGGGCTACTGCCTCAACCACATAAAAATTGTATTACAAAAAATCTTTTATTTATTATGTTGTAAACATTAGGGTTTTTCGTTAACAGTATTTGTTACAATAAACATTGCGCGAACAAGAAATAAAACACGATAACCCGTCTACGAAATTACAACCGTTAAAACAATTTCATCTGACCCATGCATCATCAACATTACGTCGTTGTCTGTTTTGACTTCCTCCAACTAAAAATTAGGTCTTCCTGTCGCAAGTGAGGTTGTTGTTCGTCTTTGCTGGATCCTTCTAATTTGTTCCCCATCCACGATGTCTCCCTCTAGTCATCGCATCAACTCCCTCTTCAGACGCTCCATGGAGTGAATGTGCCAAAATTTCATTTTCATCGGAGGTTTTGTGGCAGAGAAAATAACATAACCATCTCTGGTAAAAATCATGGGTGATGTCATGACGCAAATAACTGAGTAAAAAATAAGAGAACAGTGCGAGAAAGTGTGATGAATGACAGAAAAACAGACGAATTATTTATAAAAAACAATATTTTGTCCTAGGAGTCAAGTGAGATGGCGCCTCCTCTCACTTTTAAACTGCATGCGCCATCTCACTTGGCTAAAAGAGAGAGGAGGCGCCAAGTGGGATGACGCCTAGGGCAAGAATGGGAGTGGAGGCGCCAAATAGGATGACTCATTCCTTGAGGAGTTTTCTGAAACATAGTTATTTGCGTAATTTTTTCCGAAACATGGTTATTTGCGAATTTTTTTTTAATACATAGTTATTCTAAAAAAAAGTTCTCAATAAACATATGTATTGTGTACTGAATCACATAGATAGTGATAACGCACATGTAATGGATTTATTGGTGCTCACATAAAAACGTGTCTAATGTGTAATGGATCTTATTGGTGCTCACATAAAAACATGTCTAACGTGTAATGGATCTTATTGGTGCTCACATGCGCATGATAGTGACCAGGTAACAACTAGTCTATTATTGTAGTTCAAAGATAAAGTGTAACATGGTCCATCAATTTCTACTTTTTAACAAACTGTTCATCTATATAACTCACAAACCAAACACAACACTTATTATTAGCTCGGTTGTTTTTTTATCATACAGACAACATGGCTTCATCACCATTATTATTCACAGTGAGGAGGTTCCAACCAGAGTTGGTGCTTCCAGCTGCTTCAACTCCTCGAGAAGTTAAACTGCTATCTGACATAGATGATCAACAAGGTTTGCGTTTCAATGTTCCTTTCATATTTATCTATCGCCATGAACCAAGAATGGCAGAAAAAGACCCGGTTGAAGTTCTTAGAAATGCACTCTCACAAACACTTGTTTATTACTATCCATTTGCGGGAAGGATTATAGAAGGTGTTGGACGAAAGTTGATGGTTGATTGTACTGGTGAAGGTGTCATGTTCGTTGAAGCTGAAGCTGATGTAACACTTGACCAATTTGGTGACTCTCTCCATCCACCATTCCCTTGCTTCCAAGAACTTCTCTATGATGTTACTGGCTCGGAACTAATTATTGATCGCCCCCTTCGACTCATACAAGTTAGTTTTATTATTTTTAGCTTGCCTTAGAGTGAGAATAGGTTGAGAAGATCTAAAGATAATATTAGATTTTAAATTTTACAGGTGACACGTCTCAAGTGCGGTGGTTTCATAATAGTAATTAATTTGAACCATATCATGAGCGATGCAATTGGTTTAAAACAGTTCGTGAATGCTTGGGCAGAAATGGCTCGAGGAGAACATCAACCTTCGATTCAACCTGTCTGGCATAGAGAGATTCTCATGGCAAGAAAGCCACCACGCATTACATGCAATCATCCTGAATACGAACAAACACTTCCATCAAATATCATCAAAGAAGAAGATACTGCTACCACCATAGTACATCAATCTTTCTGCTTTAGACCTTCAGACATAGCTGCAATTCGTCTCTTGGTTCCATTTCAATGCACCACATTTGATCTTATTGCAGCATGTTTTTGGTACTGTCGCACAAAAGCATTGCAGTTAGAGCCAGAGAAGGAAGTACGAATAATGTACCCCGTCAATGCACGTTCAAGGTTTAAGAATAATCATTCATCATTTGTTGGATATTATGGTAATTGTATTGCTTTCCCGGCGGCTGTAACCACAGCAGGGAAGCTTTGCGGGAACTCACTAGGTTATGCAGTAGAATTGATAAGAAAGTTAACAGGACAAGTTACAGAAGAATACATCCAATCAGTGGCAGATCTTATGGTTATTAAGGGACGATGTTCATATACAACCTTAAGGTCTTGTCTTATTACAGATTTGACTCGTTTTAAATTTAACCAAGTGAATTTTGGATGGGGTGAAGGAGTGTATGGTGGAAATGCAAGAGGTGGGGCTGGTTTGTTTCATGGAGCAAGTATTATTGTTTCACATAAAAATTCAAAAGGAGAAGAATGTTTGATATTAACAATTTGCTTGCCTTTAGAAGAGATGAAAAGATTTAAAAAAGAGTTAGATGAGATGCTTGATAGCAATAATCAACCTACAAGGAGTGTTTCTAGTTTTGTGAAGTCTACCTTATAGTGTCTAGCTTTTGATGATTGGTGGTTGATGGCATAATCTTTCTTATGCCATTATATTATTAATTTATAAATAAACTAGGAAAAATAATACATTCATACGCATGAATTCTGGTCTGATACACGTATTATTTATAAATATAAATTGTTGTTTATAAAAATATTTGTATTAAAAGTTGATATTTTTTCATTTATAAAAATATTTGTGTCAATAATATACTTTTTCCCATTATAAAAATATTTGTATCATCAATAAATTTTTTTCCTTTAAAAAATTTATATCGACAATATATTTTTTCTCATTTAAAAAAATATTTATATCAACAATACTATTTTTCCCATTTATACAAATATTTATAACAACAATAATTTTTTTCCTATTTATATAAATATTTGTATAAACAATACATTTTTCCTGTTTATTTATATCAATAATAAATGTAAATAAAATATAAAATTGCATTGAAATAAGACAAATATATAATAGATTAAAAATAGAATAAGTTGAATAGGAAAATGGATTTTTTTTCAGTAAAAAGTTTGGTGCCACATTTTTGTAAGTTGAAATTACATTTAAATGATTAGAATTAAAATCTATATAAAATTTTAGAATCAATTCTACTTTTATATTGGTTGATGTGATAATGAAGTGAAAAACATTTTGAAAAATAAAGAATCAAGAATGTAAATTTGGTTAGTTAGTATGTTGCTTTTATATTGTGTGTTAGGGGTTCTTAACATTGTGTCAAAAAGAGAGATGAGAGATTAATAACCGATGATGACAACCAATATATATATATATATATATATATATATATATATATATATATATATATATATATATATATATATATATATATATATATATATATATATATATATATATATATATATATATATATATATATATATATATATATATATATATATATATATATATATATATATATTAATAGTTATTACATCGTTTTATAGTTTTTTTTTTCTTATTTTTTAGATATAAAATTTTTAATAAATAAATTATTTGTTTATTTTAATGTAATAATTGTGATCCTAAATTTTATTTTTATATTTGAAAATTAATAAAGATATATTTGTTTTAGGCCTATTTATTACTTTGATAAACTTTTAGTTGAATTCTTCTATTTTTAACGGTCCAATATACTCTATTATAATAATCATAAATAAATTAATCAATATGTTTAAAAACATATAAATAAAATAATAAATTAATTTTAATTACTATTAATTAAATGTTACAAAAAAAATTAACATACCTAAAACAAAATAAAAATACTATGGAAGAAAAAGAAGTTGAAATTGATATACTATAGTGCATTTAATTTATTTATAGTCGTTGTTTTTTAATAAAATAAAATTGATAAATGTAGTTCTTTTTAATTAGTTACTATATTTTTCTGTTGTAGAAAAGAGTTTCCTTTTCTAATTAATTATTGATTTAAATTATTAATTAAAATTAAATGTAAAACTAAAGTTTAAAAATTTAAATCTATGTGCCTGTGGAAATAGCAAGTGAATTATATTTGTTTAAGAAATAGTAAGGGAATCATATACAATACTATAGCTTAGATATTAGTATAAATAGGTGTCGCAATGAAAAATTGTAGACCACGCTATTGACTAAATTGATTCATAAATTAAGAAGTTATTATCGAATTTTATTATTTTTAAAGAAAGGAAAAAGATCAACACTCTATATTTAAACATGTAATGCAAAAAGTAAAAAAACTAAAAACAAAACACAAAGAGATCTAAGGTATGAAATTGGTTATACAAAGAGAATGTATTACACTACGCCAAAAATAAGATTAAGCAGTACATTTTAGGCAGCGTTTCTTATCAAAAGTGCTGCTAAAGATCCATTTTAAAAACACGGGAATTTGGTCGTATACCTTAGACAACGCTTTTTAAAAAAGCGCTGTCTAAAGGGGTGAATGCACTTTGAAAAAGCGTTGCTAAAGAGGGTGTTAAAAGCGCTTTGAAAAAGCGCTGCTAAAGGGGGTGTTAAAAAGTGCTTTGAAAAAGCGCTGCTAAAGGAAGTGTTAGAAAGCGCTGTTAAATGGGGTAGGTACTGTAGCGCTTTGGAAAAGCGCTGCCTAAAGGGTGGGCTTACGCGGCGCTTTGTAAGAGCGCTGTCTAAAGGGGGGATGTGGTTTGAAAAAGCGTTGCTAAATGGGCTTGTTAGAAAGCGCTTTGAAAAAGCGCTGTTAAATAGGGTAGGTACTGTAGCGCTTTAGAAAAGTGCTGCCTAAAGGGTGGGCTTACGCAGCGCTTTATAAGAGCGTTGCCTAAAAGGAGGGGGGGATTACGCAGTGCTCTTCTACTAGAAGTGTTGGATAAGGGTGGGCTAACGCATCGCATTTAAAAGTGTTGCCTAAAGTCCTGTTATAAAAAATAATAAAAAACACGCCCAATATCACAATAATGATTATTTTCAGAAAATAGGTTTTTTCTCTCCTCTTCTCACGCACACGCATAACAACCATTCTTCCATATAATCTTCCATTTTTTTCTTTGATTCTCAACGAAAATAGATTCTATTTGTTCCACAATCTAGGATCTCATCCTTTCTTCCATTCAAGACCGTTCTCATCATTTCTTCCATTCACAACCAATGTTCTCTTCTCCTCTAGATATGATTTTTGATATATTTGATAATGTTGAAATATAATGTTGCATTTGGTTTAGTTGATAGTGTTGCTTTAGTGTTGATTTAGTGTTGATAATGTTGCATTATGTTGTGCTTTGTATGGTATGTGGTTTTTGCATGTAAGGTGTTTGTGAAAATGTCACAATGAGTTTTGCTTGTAAGGTGTTTGTATAAATGTCACAATGAGTATTGCATGTATTGATTGAGAGAAAATATATTCCTATACAATTAATCGAGCTATAAATTTTGGTTTGAGAGGTTGTCGTAATAACACTTATAACGCTGAAATTGAAAGCACTTCACATAGAGTTGAAATTGAAATTGAAAGAACTCATATAGTTGATGGTGTAAAACTGATAATATAAATGATTATTTGATGATAATGTAAAGTTGAAACGATAATATAAATATTAGTGATAATATAGAAACGATAATATATATTCTTGATGGTGTATAAATATTAGTGGTAATATAGATATAAATATTAGTGATGATTTTTGACGGTCATCGATAATATAAATATTCTTGATGCATGGTGTATAAATATTAGTAATTATTTAATGTTGTTTTATTAGTAAAATATATGTTAAAAAGAATATACAAGATACCCCAGTTCTTACATGCGTCAAACTAAATTACTTTATGATTTCACTTTTTAAAAATAGTTTTAAAAAATATGATAAATTAGAGTTAGTTATAAATTTTAATTGCTAAATAATTAATATACATTTTTAGAAAAATAAAATTTGATTTTTTTGAAATAATTAATAATAATATAATATTATTATATTATTATTATATTATTATTATATTATTACTATATTATTATTATATTATTATATGTTAAAAAGGGTATTTATAGTATTTATATTCTAATATAATTCTTATTCTATAGATTTTTTTATTATAATGAAATTAATTGATCATTTATATAGGTTACTTGTGAAGAGTGGAGTTTCTGAGCGTTTCCAAGAATGTTATACTGTGTGGTTTTAGAAGTTGTTGACTTCTCTACATGTATTTAGTTGTTCTTTTAATTTGCTATAGTTGCTTGAATAATTATAGTATTTTTATTATCGGTGAATAAAAAATGGATGACTATTACATAATATGTTTGAGTTTTCTTAGTTTGTAGGCATTGGCCTTTGGTATCTTATATATTTACTTTTGCAATATTCTCATTTGAGCTTCATTTTGTATCCAAGTTACACATTTTAGAGACAAAATTATACTTGAAGACCTTCGATTTTGAATTAAGTTGGTTGGACAAGTCAAAATTCTTGTTTTACACTAAGGTTAGAGAACCTTCTATGTTTTATATTCCATTAGAATGTGCTCCTATGCTCCTATAATTTTCTATGAATATGCCTAATTGGTATTAAGCTTTTTAGTCTCTATACTTTTTTTTAAGTGTTGTTTTTGTTTAGCTTACTTAATAGTAAGACCATGGATAAAAAATGGATGTTTTCCAATCGATTGTCCAAAGAGTACGAGAATGGGGTATTGGAATTCGTTAAGTTTGTTGTTGAACATGCCGAAGACGCCAATCGAATGAAATGTCCTTGCTTAAGTTGTTATTTTGTGGATCGGGTTGGCGTAATTGGGTTACAATCGCATTTATTGAGGTGTGGAATTGATCGAAGTTACACATGTTGGATATTCCATGGTGAGAAAAGTAACGAGAATATTGAACTGGGGGATAGTACGACATATGCTTCAAACGACAATGACACAGATACATACGATTGTGATCGAGTCGAAGAGATGGCAGAAGCACTTGAAGAAGATCTTCAGGATTGTCCTAAAATGTTTGAGAGGTTGGTAAGTGATGTAGAGAAACCGTTGTATAAAGGTTACACTAAATTCACAAGACTGTCTGTGGTATTAAAGTTTTACAACTTAAAGGTGGGCAATGGATGGTCGGATAAAAGTTTCACAAAGTTATTAGCCATTATGAGAGATATGCTTTCGGAGGATAATGTTCTTCCTAATCGAACCTATGAGGCCAAAAAAATGTTGTGCTCTATTGGCATGAGCTATGATAAGATACATGCTTGTCCAAATAATTGCATTTTGTTTTGAAACGAATATGCATCGTTAAATGAGTGCCCTAAATGCGGTTTATCTCGATATAAGTAAAAATTGTCTTCAGCAAAAATCTTATGGTATTTTCCTATAATTCCGAGATTTAGACGCATGTTTCATAGTGAAACCGATGCAAGACACTTTACTTGGCATGCAAATGAAAGAATTATTGATGGAAAGTATCGACATCCGACAGATTCACCATAATGGTCGAAAGTTGGTAATGATTTTCCTGATTTTGGAGAAGA